GGGCGCACATGTTTCAGATGGATCGTCATGGGCAACTCTAATTAGGTAAGTATGCCACAATGACGTCCATTTCGCGGTGTCGGTTTTACCTCTGACAATATCAATATTAGAATAGCGAAACTAGTATTATAAAACTTCCAGCAAGTTACATAATAATCTACTTCAAAATTTTACAAGTATGCTGTTTCGTACTTTAGATTGTTTGATCAAAAAATAGTGTAAGTGTAGCTTATAACGACAAAATCTTGCCAAAATAAAAATCTACACTTTTATCTTCGTTTTTTTAACTATTAAGATTGTGTTTTAAACTCTTATTATGATATCGTTATTTCAAAAATAGCTCATCAAAATCAATAAGAAAAAAAATACTTAATGACGTTTTATCTTTTTTTTTATATATATGTATAGGTTAGAAAGTTTTTTTGAGTTTCAAAAATTAGAGATTTTTTATAAGATCGGTTACATGCTAGATTTGGTTATGCCTTCTAATATTCCACCACTGTAAACATTATAACAAACGACTAAGCAATTAGTGTGTATGGATAATCTTGGAAATTGTTATCAGATAATACTAGTACCAGGTAATCTAATACCCGATCAATAATCTTCAATACATATATAGCTATAACTATTTTAACCGTAAGTTTCGTCTAGGCTTCTTTTTTTGCCATAATGAAAATGGGGTTCGTTTGACCATAAACTAGGGTTACTCTAAGATTAGAACAGAGCTGTACAATCGTTAGTGTTTTGATTCTGATAATCTTAACTATTGCTATTTAAATCATTTATCAATGTTCGGAATCAGCAAAATGGACATGTTGAGAAGACATATTGTAAGGCCCAATAACGTGATGAAATTAAGATGCCGGGGCCTCACGTGAGAGCGGGTATGGCGATCAATTCCTTGATATGGATATCCCGGCAATTAATCGCATTAATGCGATTAATTAAATAAATCAAGGAAGTGAGGTTTAATAGATAAAGGGGATTAATTAGCGAAGGGGGATTGATTAAGTAAAAGGGTTTAGGTGGATAATCGAATTAAATGGTTTAATGAGATTAATGTAATTAAAGAAGTTATAATTAAAAGATAATATAAATAAAGGCCGAAATGGCCCTTTGAAGCAGTACGCTTCGTTGGCTTTATTAAAATACAAGTCCCAATACATTATAACGTCTATAATAAAATACTAACACTAAACCCAGTACACACCCTGTAAAATCCATAAACTTCGTTATTCGTTCAAGTTCTTGTTCACGTGACTTACCCTACTTGTATTCGTTGACCCAAAGTACCGAAAGCCTTAATCGCCCACCGGCCAAATCTAACACCCTCTTTCAAAAAGGTTACCTATCATATGTTACACGACATTTTGTATTGTGGAGCGACAGAGTCACAGTTATCCAAAACCAACAATATATAATGTTGGTTATTACTATCCAATGAGACCAACACGAAACAACAAGTATTGTTCATTTCTGTCTATATATTTTATCAATTACATGAATTTACATTTTGTTAAAAGTTATATTTGATAATATGGTCCAGTAAACGATGGGCATACTTTGTTTCTCAGATTACTTTAAAGTGTAAGTTATCTGGGCAATTGATTTACATCAGCCAATCAGACGAATGTCTCACTATGAATCTAAAACTAATATTTTTAAGTTATACCTGATCTTGAAATTTGAGTGGTCAAAATAAGTCATCGTGTTCTTGCGTTTCTTAAATACTCACAACAAACTGATTATGTCAGAATATTAGATCCTCAAATGTTAAAGTTTCTTTTGTGGTTTATCAGAAGCTCTCCGACAAGTCTCTCCAAAAGCGAAGGTCCCCTGTAAGCGAAGGTCCTCCTGTAAGTGAAGACCCAAAGTAAGTTTATTTAAAAAATTTATTAGGACTTTGCTATGTACATTAAAGATAATGTATTTATATTATAGCATAAGTAAAGGCTTTTCTGTAAGTTTCCACATAAGACTACGTGTAAGTTCCCTTATAAGACCACGCGTAAGTCCCCTCATAAGATCATGTATAAGTCCTCCTGTAAGCCCATGTGAAAGTCCACCTGTAAAGTAAGTTATTCAAAAAATTTATTATGACTCTTATTGATGTATATACTGTATATTGAAAATATTTATATTATAGTATGAGACGACAATGATGATGATGATGATGACAACAAGAATAGACAGAAACAGAAATTAGAGCACTGAAATCTGGAATGCACCACCTTGGAACCTCTTGGATCAAAATCAAAGAACAATATGATCATTCTCAAGGGTCTTTAAACTTGAGATCTGCGATAAATCTTAAGGACAAAGCATGATCAGAGCTAGAATATAGAATTAAGAATCGTAAACCTCATGATATATTTCGTCTTGTTAAGTAAGTGATATAATAGTTATTTGAATTTAAATACGTATTAATAATTTAATTATAACGTATAACATATTTTTAAATTAGTGTTTACAAAGACTTCGAACTTAAGCATCCAGAATTTTTTGATCTAATAAATATATACTATATTATGATCAACCCTTCTTTTTGACTTATAAATTACTATATAATTTGGGTTTGTGATCAGTATTTACTTAATTTGGCCATGATACAAATCAATAAATGTGTTGTTTTCGATCTGTAATGATGTTAACTTCAGAACAATTAATAGTAGTTAAATTAGGAAAACAGATGCTAGGGGATGAGGTCCCGTAGCCTAGTGGTCTAGGCGCCTCTCCCTCCACAGACAAGGTCGATGGTTCAATTCCAGCTGGTGGCAAAACTCTGTAATCTACGGAAGCATATGAATGTACATGAAGCCTTGTGGTTTAAGTCCATGTGAATAGAAGATCAGTATATAAGGAAGTTCCCGGAAAGAAGTTTCCCGATATGGAGAGTTGGTGCTTGATGCGAGAGAAGCGGTGAACATACCAGAAATGAAGAGAAGGTACACTAGCGAGTGATATGGTGAACATAAAAGGAAACTATAGGAAAGTAATGGACTTACTGAAACTCGAACACCTCTGGCATCAAAACCGATTTAGTAGATACAGGATACACTAACACGGATAAAATCTAAGGGGGATAATCTTGGTGTCATACTTAGGAAGTCTGCGTTGAGGGTAAATTTGAAAGACTATGAATACTCGATAACATCCAATGAGGTGGTACCTTAATATAAATAGTAATTAGATAGCCCTAACCTGGTATGTCCATGTAGTAATAAAAGGTTGTAAAGTTTAAATAGGGGATTCACAGGCGGATCTCAGGTATGGTAGCTAGTAGGTAACCCTCGGGCGGAACCTTTAATTAGATAATGACTAAAGTTATACATGTGGCTAGTTATACTTTCGTTGATAAACTATGTATTCATTAATAACTAGATATTACTCAATAAAAGACAGACAGGCAAGATTGCCACTTATAATACAAAAAAAAAAAAAGGAAAACAGATGCTGTTAGTGTCTGAAGCTTTTAATTTTACAGGATTTTTCATTTTGTCATGCTGATCTGTGTCAATATGTTAACTCTGATTGGATATATATCATGTGAGCAGAACCCAAAATATTTTTTGGTACTTGCTTATCTATAGAAAGTCCTTTACTATGCTTTAGACAATCACCAGTTAAAAAAATTTCGCCAATCAGATTTCAAGATCTTGTGTAATACAAACAATTGCAAAGAAATCAAACCAACAAAAAATGCTCGTAGCTCAAAATTTTGCCTATGAAAGTGCCTTCTGCATACTAACAAAAAAATTTCTTCGTAAAATTTTACTATAAGTATAACCCTTTAAACAAACATCAACCTACTAGTGGAACCCTAACCCTAACCTAAATTACAAACCAATTTTTCTAATAAGATCACATAGTCAGTGAAATTTTTTAGACTGGTGATACTAGATTCTTAGTAAATCTCGCAGTTGAAGCTAGAAATGGTTGAAGTTAAGAATTAGCGACCTCGATTTAAAAATATAATCCCAACAAAATCTATTTATATTCTTTTATTATCGATCTAATTATTGTTACTGGCAGACCGATAGAATTACACACACAAAAACAATTAAGAAATGCGACGAATTGTCGCTATCGAACAGGGTATGTCACATAACGTTCCTCAACGTCTTAGAGGCGAAACTATTTGACACTGGTCTAAGGCGATGATTAAAGAGCATTATTAAGAGAATTAGGACAGGGTAAGTGAAGGGGTCCTAAAAGAGCATTCTACTTTGTGATTTTTTTTTTTTTTTTTTTAAAGTAGGAATTTTTAAGGGTCTTTATTTATTAATTTTATTACTTCTTGTAGGGCAGGGAAGGCACACTTTTTTTACAAGAGGGAATTCTATGGTCTACTTATAACGAATTTTAAAGAGATTTTTTGAACATTCCCTTACGATTCTTATACCATTTTTCTATAGAACCCAAGCCCTTTTTATTTAACTCTTTATCCCTTACTTTTCACAGCCTCTACTTCTTGCTCATTTAATGCTTTCTTTTTACCTTCCAATCAACGTTCTTACTCCCACAACCATTCCATCAATTGGAGACGCACCCACACGGCCACAAGCTTTACCCCACAAGGCAATATTAACCCATTGACTCATTTTAGCTTGTACTTTCGTCAATCGGGTTAATGCAGATTACTTTACCATTTCGGGCCTGACAACGGTAATTGTTCTGGGGGCTTAGCGGCTACGGTCACGATCACATGCAGCATCGATTCGGGACTTCACTGTTCATCCATTTTAGGCAGTTCTTCGAGATCGGGGGTACAGGTTTGCCACTAACACTATTAAAAGTTTCAAGATAATTTATATTTGTAAATTTGTTAAAGGGTATAAAATACCTATTGATTTACTGGCCACTCTAAAAGTATTATTTTTGATTCACGATATACTAGGTCCTATTGGCTAAAAAAAAATTGGCATATGCATATCATATAAATACGTAGGAGAGAATTGGGTCTCATTTATTATTACTTTTTTGGAAGATTAGATTCTTCTTTTTTTTCCTACAATAACAAGGTCTTTATATATTTTTAACAGAGAAAATAAGAAGACCAGAATCCATCAACTCAATCGCGAACAGCCACACACTAATCCCGACAAGGTAATATTATCTTGACATATCAAGCCAAATCGGGAAGGAGGCTTTGTCCAAGATCTACAACGTAATCATTATATGGGGGCTTTGCAGGGGGATCGTCGTTCGAATTCTTGTCTGGGACATCGTGGTATTGGTTGCGAATGGGATTATTAATTAGTGCAATAAAGTTTTTTTCTTTAAATATGTATAAATTTTCTTTGCGCAATTCCGTTTTGATAACAGTTACTGACTTCGTATCATCTTTCTATTTTTGTAAATATTTAATCATTTTTTCTACTATGGAAATTGAAGGTGGCTTAGCGACTTAGGTGCAGGAAATCAAATGCATCACGTATACACCGAAAAATCCGCGTGTATATGATTACACAAAATTGCACCTTGTAACTTTCAGGTGTTAACTTCAAGTGTGAACACCCAAATTTTTATGTATACGTTCGATTCTGGGTGTAAGCGTTATAGTTTCGGTGTCTACATTCTTCAAAATTAAAATGTATGTAAGGACCTTGCATTTAATAAACGCAAGAACAGTTCTCATCCACCATAAATTTCGATAATAATAAAAGTATTTTTTTACCTGACTAGTCCTTTATAAATTGTCTTTTCAATTCGACTTGCAACTTTCATAAATCTCTCGAGACTCGATTTGATGGACTGAATTGACTTGTAACTTCGACTGGGTTTATATGGAATTAAATATTGTCATATATGGGTGTGTTGTTAACCGAAGAATTAACTTCAAACGGCCTTAGACATATTTCTTGTATTTTTTGATTTTTTTTTTTCACCTTATTCTTTTTTCACTTTGTCAAGCTGATTCGGGTCGATCCAAAATTTGGTTGACTGCTTTAGATAATATATTTTACAGATACTGACACGAGCGAAACGGCGAGTCGGTCGCTTGACAAATGGATACGTCGTGTAACCTACGAATCGGCTTAGTCGATACGAGGCGGTTAGATTTGGACGAGTGGATAGTTTATGATTGTAGGTTTTATTATAACGACAGTAGGATATTATTATTAGGGAACGAATTTTTATGATAAGCACTAAATCTCCTCTTCTTGTAGGACTCGAAGCCTTTATTATATATTGTTCTATTACATATGCGTTTGTTACGGTATTAAACTTATTAAACCTATTAAACATATTATCCTTATTATATCCTTTAACGTCCCTTATTACTTAAAACCCTTAATTCCCGTATATCCCATTAATTACAGTTTCCTCTTAAAACCCTTATTGCCACTATTACCCTTGTATCTGCTAATAGTCCTATACGATTTTAGGAGTGATAATCCCGGGAAGCCCATATTAGGTAGGTGATCGTCATAGCCGTTAATCGTTACTGCGTCACCATCGATCACCTCCTTCCACGTGCTTCCGGGATCATGTTTCACGGCTCACAATACTAATTAAATGTAAGGAACAAAAAATCTATTAATGTATTTATCTAACTGTATTATATTGGTTTTTATATTGCTAAATGAATATATCGCAAGTACATTACTACTGGAAGAGTGGACTTTATGATGGGTAGGATTTTGGGCAAAATGACTCTTTTTCACATAAATATGAGTTCGACCATCTAATTCTCTGTCTCGATTTAATTTCACTTTGATTCTTATCAAGATGAAATAATTGGTTTGATAAGTTTGATTCGGTGAGAAAAACTTGTAATTTATCAGACGGTATATTATATCAGATAATTTGTCAATCATTGAGATAAAGTTAAAAATAGTAAAAAAGCTAAAATTATTCTCAGGCAAATCATAGTAAGTTTTCAATTAAAATTTATAATGATCAAAAAATCAATAAATCTAGATCAGAATTGTTACCAATGACATTGCTTAACAATGTAAGGGAGGGTAGGGTATTATGACGCAGGTGGGTAGAGTGTCCAGGGGGCTGTGGTGGCAGAATCTGCGCAGAATTCTGTTTTTGGCGCAGTTCTGCCTGCTCAAGCAGAAAAGCAGAAAATCTGCTTGAGCAGAATCCGCAGAACTTTTATAATAAATTATTGGCTGACAAAGCCAGCTATTGTACTGTAAAATTGGATGTTAATCGTTTTTCTGTTATTAATAAAGATGAAAATTAAAGTTTGTCTATTATTAAAATTTGAATAAAAAGAAAATTTGAGCAACCTTGATTTTTTGTTTTTCATTTTTTTAAAAAAAATGTTTTTTGCAATTGATAGGATAGAAGGTTCATATTCTATACCAGAATATAAACAAGAATTTTATGTTGAAAGTACATTGTTAAAGTGTCATGCTTGTCACATATCATTGAATTATAAAAAGAAATCTGTACTTGATAATCATCTTAATTTAACAAGATATGAAATTGCAAAAAATATTACAAATAATTCAACACAAGTATAACAAAACATTAACATCATTGTAATACATTTATCTAAAAGAGAACAATTGAACTTGAATCTTATTCAAGTTTTAATAGTTGTTAATGTATCTTTTGAAAAATCAGATAAATTAAAAGAATTTTTTAAAAAACATTATAAATTCAGTAAGTATTAATAAAAATTATTATTCTATTACTTGAATAGTCAATTATAATATATATGTAATAAAGTTAATTCTATTTTAGGTATTTTTATTGTAAGATTTAATTAGCTTCATAAGAAATACTTGTTAATATTATATGAATTAGAATTGGATAAGTTACATAAAATATTGATAAATCAACAAATTTGTATTATTGTAAAGGAAACAACAGATGCTTGTGGTAAAGTAACCATTAATATTCTTTTTAGTTTTGAAAATAAAACAAAATTAGTTGTTACAAAACATCTTAAAAAGTTGATATTATAATAATTTCACAATTTATTATATCAACTATTCAACTTTATCATATTCCTTATGAAAACATTAAATTTTATATTTCAGATAATGTTGATTACATGTTAAAGTTTTTTTAAATATTAAAACTATTTTTTTTAAGACTTTATTATAATACTTATTTAGCTTATATTTATAATTTAGTTGGCAGAACATGAATAGATTATCATCAATTTAAATTAGTAGATAATATTATCTCACTTATCAAATCTTCATTTACTTACTGTTTAGTATATAGATATAGATGAATTAGTCATCTTTTTTTAAATACTGTTATAGTATTATTACTTCTATCTTGTTTTAATTTAAGTTTTAATATAAATTTGAATTAAAATAGAAACTTAAATAATAATATTACTACAACTTTGCCACTTTTATCTGTCAAAACTCATTGGAATTCTTGATTCAAATTTGTTTTTTGGATTAATTAGCATATTCTATTTCTTATTACATTTTATTAAGAAAAAAAAAATTTGATGATAGCAGTGCAGTAATTTAAGAATTAGCATAATTTACTTGTAATAATGCATAAGTTCTTAAATTTGAAATTTTGATATTATTTATAATATTGAATACTCAAAGATATAAATATATCTTATATATATATGTATATATATATATATTTTTTATAATAGTATTACACTTAAATTTATATAATTAGAATTTGTTTTTTTTTAAATTATATTCTAAAATTATAAATATATTTTTTAGATTCATAACAGATTTGGAGTTCTTTATGATTAGAAATAAACCTATAGCACTATATATTATTACAAGAATTAAACAAACTTATATAGAATTAACAAATGATATGCAAAAACTACTATTAAATACTAAGTTAATTGAAAAATATATATTGAATAGAATCAATTTAAATAACTATAAGCTAATTTTTTGTAAAGTATACAAGTTGGCCTGGACTAAGTTTAAAAAACATATTAATAGACATAATACACTTTCTCTTTTTAAAACAATTAAATAGTTTGATCCAAAATTTATTTAAATACAAAATAATAAATATAATTTAAGTAATTACAAAGAAATTAATGAATTTGTATCACTAACAAATAATTTGATTGATGAATGAAATGTATATTGTGGTCTTAGAAAATTTTTGATAAAACTTTTGATCTAAATAATTATTAAATAGAAAAAAAAATACTTTATTAATTTTATCTAAAATAGCATTATTGTATATTTGATTACCTGTTTCAGATATGGATATAGAATGTAGTTTTATTGTTTACAAAACTATTCCTAGTAATTGTAGAAGAAATCTTTCAGAGAATTTTATTGTAATATTAAACTTTTTATATTACAATTTTAATTAGAAAATGTTTTTACAGAAACTTTTATATAAATAAAAATAAATATTATTTTAGACTTTTGGTTTAGAATGCAGTTAAAGTCAAAAAACATGAAAGTAAAATGCATCTTGTTTTTTTTTTTTTTTTTGGAGTTAAGGTGAGGTCATGCCTCAGGTCTGTTTATTCGAACATATTGTTACAGTTT